AAAAAAAAAAAAAAAAAAAAAAAAAAAAAAAAAAAAAAAAAAAAAAACTTCGAATCGGAATGTTGCTTACAGATTGTAGGGACTAAACTGTGAGAACCAGATAGAATGTTAAGGTAAGGATATCGAGTAAGTATACCCTGTGCATTTTAATCACCATCTCCGCTTTTGTTGCAGAACCAGAGAGCGGTTCTCCTACAAGCTTCAAGGAGACCTTCATTTCAAATTCGTTATTATTTTTCCAAATCTTTGATATCATTTTCAAAGATTCGCCAGATTCGCCAGATTTCACATCATCCTCCTCACCATTCTCACGCTCCGGACTGTCCGAGGCTTCGAAGCATCGTCCTCAACCTTCTGCCGCAAAATCACTATCAAATCAACGAAAGCATTAAGTATGTGTTTATGCGACTTTTTATCGTTCAGATTTAGAAAAGAGAACAGAAGTTCTTCCATAAACTCCCAATCCACTTTCTCCTGCTGTTTCATGTGAGAATCCATCATCTCTTTCATCGCTCGCCGAAATTCCTCAGGCGGATTCGGCGAGTACCTCAAAATCGCGATGCAATCGTTCGGAAGTTTCACATCCTTGCTCTGATTTTCACCGTTCAAAGATGAAGAACTCGATCCTACATTTTCCGACGATTCCGTCAGAGAATCGTTCGCTGGAGATCCGGACAAGCCAGGGGAGAAGAAGAATCGGTGAGATCCGCCGTTCGAATCAACCGGCGAATCAGGTGAAACCACTCCTTGCTTCTTGCTCTCTCGACCTTCTTCTTCTATTTTTTTCTCCTCGAACTCTTCCTCCTCTTTCATGTACAACGATCGGAAGTTCTCAACGAGGAATCGATCGACATCGGAGAGAGTAGCGGCAGCGGCGGGGTCCGCAGCGGCGTTGTTACCGGCGCCGTCGCCATTCTTCCGATCGATGGCGAACGACAGTGTTTTCGGATGCTTACAACCTGCGAGAATCCAGTTTTTTGAAGATTTGAATGATTGGGGATTAGGAAATTGAAGCTGAGGCGTTGGCCTTTTGATCTTCGAGAGGTAACCTAGCAGCGATTTTCGCAATTTTCTAGGCATTTTTCTTGTTTGTTCTTGGCAGTGTATAGCCTGTTTGGATGAACTGAATTTTTCTTTTGGTTTTGCTCTCCAAAATTCAGAGAGAATACTTAATTCTTATAAAGAAAAACAAACAACGCTAAAGCCAGAAAGTAACAAAAGAATATTAATGGCCTAGAAAATACGTTTTTTTTTTTTTTTTTTTGATAAAAAAAAAAAAAGAATAATCCATTAAAGGGATGGAACTCAACGGTAGTGCCTTCTCCTAATTGGTGGACTTTTATTTCCAATATTTAACTTTATTTATTTTGGATAAATTATAAGTCAATATCTCTATTTTTAAAAAAAAATTGTTTAATAAGATTATAAAATTTAAAAATACATTTTAATTTATATCTAATATATTTTAAAAATTAAAATTAATCTAATTTATTAAATATAAATTTGATCTGAAACTTTACTTTTTAGACATAAAATTAAAAATAAATAGACGAAATTATTATTATAATCAATTATATTTTTCTTTTTACTCTAAACATTGAACTTAGAATTATGATACAACTCTCCTAGAATGTAATTATTGTGTCGTCGATTAAGTTCTTAGTATTTAATTTGGATGAAAAACATTATTTATTTGTTTTAATTGATGGTGGAATAATTGAGTTCATGTTGAATTTAAGAAAAATGGGTTGGTTTTAGTCGATTTTTTTTTTTTTTTTTTTTTGTGTCTAACACAACAATAAATGAGCATAATTTATATATTAATGTTATTTTATATTTATTTGATTCGTAAATAATAATTTTAATAATAGACTATTGGTATTTTTAAACTTGGAAGTGGTAATTATGGAAACTTGGAAATGTTAAAAGGTATGTAATTAAATAAGCATGCAAAATTTAGGAGTTTTAGGATATGGTTACCAAATAATTATATAATAATTTTTTATCTTCTCATTTTTGGTAACTTGTTCCAAATTTGGAACCGAGGAATGTATCTGACCATAGTCTTCTCTGTTTAATGGACTTACTCGTAAAAGAATATTTTCGGTTATTTTTTTTTTAATACACCTGAGTCAATTTTAACATAGTTTGAATCTTCATTTTGGCACGCTAAACTCTTTTTTTTTTATTATTATTTCAACTCTTCTTTTTACGTGCAATAATGATATTTTAGCTGTCATTTATCTTAAAATATATATATTAAATTATAAATTTTGTCCCATAATTGAAAGAAAGTTAAAATTTAGTCTATTTTATTTTAAAATTTAAATTTTGTCTTTAAACAAAATTTCAATTTTTTTTTTTTTTTTTTTATAAGAATTAAATTTGTAGTTCAAACCCAGAAAGAGCAATGTTTCAAATAAAAGATTGATGCCTATTCAACTGTGTATTGACGTAAAGGCATGGCGACACAGTCCCCAATCAAGAGAGTGATTACATCCAGTATATCCCCTCCTTATTCCCGACGTGCTATGGTACCCTAGGATGGGTAGGATCGTCATGTATTATCTCCTACTACCTATGGAGATCTTTGAAGGGAAGCAATGGACAGTTTGCAATGGAGATGTTTAGCCAACAAGACCAAAGGAGATATGGCTTTTCAATTCACCAATAGGCAGTCCAACACAAAGTTTTTAGAGTCACCTTACCCTAAGTGGTTCATTTCTTTTATTACAATACTTTGAGCTACTTGTTATTACTCTTTTATTTATATATTAAAAAAATAATTTAAAAAAACCCAGTTACCGAGTTAGAATTGTATTTAGGTTCACCGCTAAATTAGAGAAAAAATACTCTTAAACTTTATAGGTGTATCAAAACTATAATTGAAGTATAAATTTGTAAAAACAATAAACCGTGGACTTTTTGTAAAGGAATCTATCAATTACTGTAATGTTAACTTTCTGTACAAATTTTAATGAATTTACATTTCAAAAGTAATTACTTATTAAATGTATTTTTGGGATATTTTAAATTAAACTGATGGAAGACACTGTAAAAAATAAAAATAAAAAGGCAAAAAAGCACAATATAATTTTTATTTTCTTTTTATTTTTTTATTTTTTTGTGTGTAATGTATAGAAAAGTAAGTAAAAGACAAGATTCATAACTAAAAAGAGCATGACTCTTTGGCTTTATAATTATATATATATATATATATAAAACATCCATTTCACATAGAGTTGACATTAAAATCCAATTGCTCGTGACTATTGACATAGCCTTTTTTTTTTATTCTAATAATTGCAAAAATAAAAATAAAAAATTGTTCAAACCTTATAACAAGAGGTTAAATAAGAGTTGACATATTCGTTTTTTGTTCTAATAATTAAAAAAAAAACATACATTTATTTTAATTCTAACTCTAAAACAATAAATTAGCTCCATCGTCAATTTAAACATTATAAATAAAATAGTTTAAATAGGAACTCACAAATAAAAAAAATTAAAAAAATATATATTTAAATAGGAATGATAATTGTATATTAAACTGGTAAAGAGGCGTGCAACAAACCAAATTCAGAAAAATTAGAATTTAGTCCTTATAAATTTAAAAATTAAACTTTTATTACAGTTTAATAATTTCTCATAAACTGTCTAATAAATAATTATTATAATTTTAAAATTAAAATTAGTCTCTGATAAAAAAAAAAAATTAAAATTATATATATATATTATTGTTTATTTTTTATTTTTATTGTGGGCAATGAGTAGACTTTTGTTAGGTTGGTTAGGGTAGATGTTTTTGAATGGGTGGGTAGTAGAAAATTAGAGTCCGTTTGAATTGGGGCTCCAATAGGAACCCTCCACGTCAACCCATCAGTCTAATCACGCCTATGTAGTGGAATTCTTATTCACATTTGACTTTTTTTTTTTCTAAAATAATAATTAAAAAATTTTAAGTATAAATGCAAATGTTTATAATAATAACTTATTAATTTTTTAAAAAATTAATCGAGGTGGCCCAATGGTCCAACGCACCACATTCAAGGTCCATATATTAGTAAATAAATTGTAATAACTTCTAATAATAATATTGTAAATAATATTTTAGAAACGTGTAAATAATTTTTATAAATAATTCTAATTTAAAAATTCAAAAATTTAAATTTTAGGAATAATTTAAAAAAAAAAAAATTGGTTAGGATGATTCTGACGATTGTGAAGTTTTGGAGAGAGTGTGGCAATATTTTATATGTTTGAATCTTTTCGAATAAATTATTTTTAAATCCTGATTTTAAAATTTTAAATTCTATATTATTTAGGAATAATTTTTAAATGGAAAAAAAATTAGTCAGAATGTTGGAGTGGTCTACCCACACAAATTCTGATTTTCGTGAGAGAAAGTGGGTTCGATGGCAACTACTTTCAACCAACTAATTTGATTGAGCGTTCAGATGTCTGTTATGCGATACGAGATGTGTGATGTCCGACATTGGTTGTGGAGGAGAACAAACCATCGTTATAATGGTGTGGAAACCTTTCCCTAGTGGATTTGGGTCGTTACAGGTTCGTTACAAGATGTGTTTTTCTAACAAGCTATATTTGTTTTATTTCTCTATCCTTCCCGTGCTGACTTCATGGGCTAGGCTTTCGCGTGTCCTAAGTTTGATCAGGGCTAGGAGACTGATAAAGAACTAGGCCAAAGTTTGACTAAAAAGGGTTGTGTTCAACTCCGTGGGTTGGCGGATTGGAAGGGATTACTTTCTACCGTGTTAAAGTAGGTTCAAGTTACACTTTTGATTTGCTACATGCTTGACATATCCGATCAAGTGTTCATTATCTGAAGTAAAAGGTTTCGAACCTTTGCATACCGGTACCAAAAACCGATGTCTTACCACTTGGCTCCATTTCATACAGCCTTGTTTTGGACGATAGAACGGGGAGAGAGGGAAGGGAGAAATAGGGCAAGACCGAAGAGAGAATGGTCGTGCAAGAACACAGGGATATAACAAGAAAGTAGCAAGATTCTCTCTTGCTAGACGGACTACAATAAGCTTGGGACTCTAATAGAAACAAACAGCAAGCTCTCATATATTCTATTTGCTTGTAACAATGTCATACCTATCAAAGTTGGCGAACACTTTTATAACCTTAGACTCGTTACGCTATTCGTTTGAACTCATTGACTCCATGTCCACAGAAAGACAGTTATCTTCGTCGCTGTTAGCATTTGGTAATTTCTTGATAGCTTCTCTCGTTCACTTCAAGCCTTTGATGTAATATCCACTAAGCCCTGAATAAAGAAAAATATTCTCAAAAAAATGGTTGCTGAAAATGGCGTTCCTTTTGTAAAGTCAAGAAGCTCTTGAATCAGCTGCAATGCAATACTAAACTACTGTCGGTACTTTCTCAAGGCTTGTAGGAGAAGAAAGAAAGTCCAAGGGCAAATTTCTAACAAAGCTAAGACCCTCCTTACTCCCTATTCTCTCTTAAACCATTTACTGAAAACCATAGCAATTACAATCACTCAATGAGAATATTTGTCTTTGGAATTCATATGGATGAGCAGACACTTGAACCTAAAAATGATGAAATTTGGGAGACAAATACGACTGCGAAGATTCATGTACCATTAAAAACACCAAAAGAACACAATGAATGACTAATCTCGATCATTCTTTTAGCTCATTTGATCGACGCAATTGTTGTGGCTCGCCAGTAATAAATCTTTAGTTAGAAATAACATATATTAAACTTTGATCTATGTTATCGCACACATTCTCCTTCAATTCTATTTGAAGATTGTTTCTGTCTAAAATAAAAATTCTTTTATTGGATCGATTACCGATATTTCGAGAGAAGGTAAATAATTTTGAATAACATAGGTTCAATCTCTCCTTCAACGCTATCTTTAATAAATATTTCATAAATGTGTAAATAAATTTGAAAATTTTCAAATTAATTGTTCTGATTTAAAATTAAAAATTTTAGTGTTAGGATGATTGAGTGATGTAAGGCGTCAAACTAAGTTTTGGATATCGTGGGAGAGTGTGGGTTCAAATCCCGCTTTTGATACAATTTTTAATAAATGTGTAAATAATTCAATTAAATTTAAAAAATAATTTTTGATGTACAAAATTGGTCAGGATGGCCGATTGTCTAAGGCGCCAGACTCAAGTTCTGGTTCTCGTGAGAGAGCGTGGGTTCAAATCCCACTTCTGACACAATAGGTAAATAATTTTGATTTTTTACATTATTCTTTTTACCATATATGGGCCTTTAGATTCACATCATAATATAATTTTGCAAAACTATATATACATACTATTGACGTATAAACTTTGGTAAATTCGTGCACAAAGAAACAACCTCCAAGTTGATGAAAGTTGTGAGATTTTGATGTGCCCAAACGACAGGTGTTGGCACTAACAAACAACCATTCTCTCCCTTTCTCTCTCTTTCCCTCCTTTTTAAGATAAGTCTTACCCTTCATCATTACTCCAAATCAACTTTTTTTTTCCCCCTTTCCTAAGTCTTCCAGCCTTCTACAAAACATACCGACTTACCGAAAATGTGTTATCAGGCCATTCCTCTTTACACAGCCACCGTCTTGCACGGAAGGCCGCTTGTAGCGGCGGCACAGACGGCCGTCCCCCAGCAGAGAACTGGCGGTGGCAATGGAAACAACTGTATTTGCTCGCCCACCACCCATCCAGGTTCTTTCAGATGTAGATTTCATCATGGAGAGTATAAGTGGGTTACCCGATCGGGATTTTCATCAAAACCCCACCTGGTTTAATAACCTATGAAATTTGTGTCTAAATTTATATGCATATGTATGTATTGTATATATATATATATATATATATATATATATATAGCTGAAATATGTTGTGATGTTTTTTAAAATAAACAAGCAAGAAGAATCAAGAGAAACACCTTTATCTTGCTTCCCCTGTGTTCATGTTCATGTTTGAACTCCTTGTGCCGTTGGGAAATGGCTGCGATATTGATTTCAAGTGGCTATACATTCGTGAACAGGCATGAGAGAACTCAAACAATGCTCTGAAAAGCTCTGGCAGCTGGTTTTTTAGGTTCCCCAAGGACTTTTCCCTCACATGCACGCATAGCTTTTGGTACTCTTCCCGCTGCTCCTCCAGTCTCTTCTCTACAGCCTCCACCGCCGCTTGCCGCTCTGCAATGGCATCATTATCACCAATTTCTTCTGGGTTTTCCTCACCGGGACTCGGCACCTTCCGCTGCACATACTTCTTCTGCCAGTCCTTGAATTGCTTGGTCTTCCGGGCAAGCTCCTTCTCTGTCTCCTCACATTTTACCTTCATCTTCATCTCTTCGTCCTGGCTTTGCATAATTGTGTTGATCACCGTTGCAAAAGTGAATATGGCGTTTCTTAGGATCTCGTCAGGAAGCTTCTCCAGCTGCTCCTGCCAAACATGGAGGAGCCCATGAATTGGTGGGCTGCGGACCCTTGGAGGAGAAGAAACCTTTTCCTTCAAGCTGCTTTCAGTAGGGATCAGATTCAATTTCAACCAATTTGATAGAGCCTTAATGTAATCTTTTTGACGGCTTACAAGCTTCTCCAATTGAGAATGCCAGTCCTGCACCACAGCCCAAAGCTGCACCGTGCGCTCATGGTGGTGGTCGCTTGTTTCCTTTGGCGACTGAGATATATCCAGCATTTTCAGAGCACCCACAACCTTCAATTGGTTTCCATGGTGAAAACGCATGGTTTCCCACATATTGACCATTCTACAATTCAGCCCAGAATTTACTTAATCTCATCATTATCAACACGCAACACACTTATAATGTTTCATTTTTAAGAATAAAATCGTTATCAAACTGAACAAGTCTTACCCATTGACAAGCTGAACAAGTTTGGGATACAATTGTTCATCTCGAATGCGGTTGATTTCAGAGACGGTGGAATCCATGGATTGCATGTCCACAATGTATCTGGTGTGCAAATGGCTGACAGTGGCCTTGGCTTTCTCGATTGCATCAAAATTGGTGCCCTTTTCCTTCAGCTTGTTCAGCGCAGCAACCTTCTTTTGGTACTCCAACTTCATAACTTCACCTGCCTGTCCCAAAAACAGTGGGAACGAGTAATTTTTTCAGCGAAATACAAGAAACAGAATGAGAGAAAAGGATTCAGAGTTTGAACCTTCACTTCCTCGAATAGTTTCTTCTCCCAGGCAAGCAGTTTATCCAATACAGTGGCATGAGTTTCATTCTCCTCTTTGTCAAAATCATCATTCAATTCATCGTTATTTGGCAATCCTCTAAATGATCTGTTCCATGTGATAACACGCATCACTCTAGCAGAATGATCTATATGTCCTGATGGGAACAAAAACCAACAGCTAGTTGGAAAAGTTTCCCAATCCATAAATTAAAGTTCATCTGTTCCCTCGAATGATTGAACTATTAATTTTGAACTTGATAAACAAGTCGAGACGAATACCTCGATTATCAGCAAAGTTTGAGTGGAAATGAAGCCGAGTGGCCTCGAGCATCTTCGAAACCTCATGAGCACTTTCAGAGGCTTTAAGAAAATGATCATCAAGCTCCATGAAGATCTGTAGCAGATTGATATTCCCTTTAACAATCCTTTTCCCCTCGCTTGGACCTGGAAAACCTACTTGCTTCGTCTTCTTCGACGTTTTCTCCGCCGAAGAAGACAGCGGCTCTTCACCAGATTTCTCCCCTGTAACCGCTCTCCGCTCCACCGCCTCCATATTGTTATCAAAATCCTCAATGCCGCTCAACGTCGGAGCCGGCATATTTTCAACCGAAAACAGATAATCATAGGTCGAATCCTGAGGCGACGGCTCGTAAATGCGGCGGTTTTCGGTCGGAGGCGGTGGCCGATTCGGTGAAGGCGGCAATCGCGGAGGCGGACTCTTTTCTTCTTCCACAAGCTCCCCATGGCCAGTTCTACCGCCACGCCCACCACCGTCTATATTGCTTCTCCTCCTACGCAATGGACCAACGGCGCATTCAATCTCAAAATCATTCTCATCCACCTCCTCAATAACCGTCTCCACACGCTTCGACTCAACCTTCGAGGCCTTCATTTCAAACATACTCGTAGCTGGTTGAAGCGGCATACCTGGAGAACCAGGAAGCGGAGGCGGCGGCGGAGGCAAACTATTATACGACGACGCCGCAGCAGCAGCTGATTGAGCAACGGCGGCACCAGGGAGAGATGACGGAGCCGGCGGGCTCTCTCCATGAGCGTAATCACTCAAAACAGCGCCAATGTTCTTCAACGACATGGCGTAGGAAGAATGCGCCGCCGCGAAGGAATTCCGGGCGGTGACGGCGTCTTTCATGAACATCTTCCGATCCTTACATCGGGAAACCACTTCCTCATTTTCGATCTTGGATTGTGAACAACCCATAGGAAAACGATCTGGAAAGAACTTCTCCGAAAATTAAACATGAAGATGGCCGGAGCTTTAAGACGAATGCCCGAATCAAGATCTACTTTACGCTAGTTATGTTCCTCCATGGGCGGAAAAAGCGGGACGGTTTCTTTCATTTCTTCGCTGCGTTTGTTCTTTTGGAGGGAAAAAAGCAAAAAGAAATTTAATGCCGCACTCGCAGAACAAATCAAATGGATGGGATGATGCTATACGTCGTCGTTTTAGTCCACTTTGTAACTTTCTTTTTAAATAAAAAGAGGAATAATCGGGTTTTTATATTATTATATATATTCCATTTGTAAGTCTAATTTCATAAACTTCGTATTTTTATTTTTTTTCAAAAAGATTAATATTTTTAATAGTTTAATTTAGTGGAATATTTTTGTTATAAAATATACTAAGCTTAATGTGCAAAACATACGTTAAATTAGAAAAAAAAAATCAATTAATTGTATAGTATATATAATCTTATTTAATTATATATTATGTCTTTTTAACTAAAAAAATGTCTAATAAATTTCTAATATTTTAATTTTGTATAAAAATAAACTTTTAAAGTATTTATTATTATTATTATTTTTTATAAATATGTTGAATTTGGATATTAAAGATGAATATAAAGCAAACATGAAAAAATCATAGATAAAATTTTAAAATAAATAGAATAAACTAGGTGCAAAAATAAATATGAAAAAATATAATTAACCAACAAAATCTGAAATTTATAATAATTACAATTCCGCGCACACACGTGGTTGATTTTCCGACAAGTATTTTGGTCATTTTGAATAGCTAGAAAATTTGTCATTCTTGTTAGGAATCACGACTCTCCACAATGATATGATATTGTCCACTTTGAGTCCTAAATTCTAGTTTTGTAGTTAAAAATATGAGTAAAGAATAGATATATAAATTATATATTACTTTCTTTTTTTTTTTTTTACTGCATTTTCTTAAAGTTATAAAGTACAGGTGGGTTGTAAGAAATGATTAGAGAATTGCAAGTGTCCTATTGGTTTAGTTTCGAAGCAAAGAATCTTCTTTTAGGATGGTGTCTCCTTCTTAATGTCATGTCAACCATGTTCCATCGATAATTTTCTCGAGCGTCTGATACCGACACCTTTTATTTATCTTCTTTGAGGGCTGCGAACCGAGCTGCGAGTTTGTCGTAGTCCGGGAGCTTAGGATGAACAAACGAATTGGTTCTAGTATGATGCTTGTTCTCTAGCTCAGTTAGCTCAGTTGGCTCAGTTGAGTCTATGGACAGTGACACTGCCCTGACTTCGTTTGATTCATGGCTTGGTTTTTTCTTACTGTAATGCATCAACAGCCCATCTAACATCTTCTCCTCCTCCTCCTCATCATCCCCTTCTCCTTTCATGGCTTCTTTGCCTTTGTTTCGACTCGAACTGATATCGTTTCCCGAATTCTCGACATTGCCGATCTTGATCTCCACTGTAGGCTGTAGTTTCACATTTCTTCGCCTGACTGATTTCGGTTTCGGTTTCGGTTTCTCTTCCGAGGTTGGCTCGGATTGCTGCTTATTACGTTCATCGTTTTCTACTTGGTCGGTAGCTTTTCGCGCTTCTTCCATTGTTTCCTTGTTGGTTGGTTTTGTTTTAAGGTAAGGAGGTCGGATAACTCTAAGGTAGAACGGTGTCTGATCCTCTACTTCATCCTCGGAACCTCCTTTTCGGACATCTTGATCAGTACTACTATCTACGGTCGAGGTCTCGGTCGTGTTGCCTTCACTTCTAATATCGAACATGGATTCG